CATCACTGAGACTGCGCGTCCCATCTGCCAGGACTGTGTGTCCCATAACAGGGGCTGCGCGTCCCATTTGCCAGGACTGTGTGTCCCATAACAGGGACTGTGCGTCCCATTTAATTTATCAGGGCTGTGTGTCACATAGCCCATAGCTGGGACTGCGTGTCCTATACGCCTGCCCTCTGGGAGGACCGCCCCATAGGCCATAGGGCATCAGGGCTGGAAGGCTGGAATGCGGGTCGCATAGCATCACATCACAACCGCATCGCATTGTCCTTTGGTATCAATTATGGCTTGCGCACTATCAACATGGCAACTACTGCACCTACCTTACTACTCCCCTCTGCGTGTCTGGGGGTGGGGTCCTACTCGGGGATCGTTCTCGCTTCTATGTGGTATACCGCTGCTGGGATACCGTAAATCGACGGGGTTGTCCCAATCTCACCCTCTTCGGCGTGGCTGGGGAATGAGAGTCGCCCCAGCCCACGCTCATCGCTGTAACCAACGGAGTTAGGGGAGCCGTAACTTTATTTGGATAGAGGAAGAGGGGTGCTTCTGGCGCTTCCGGGAACAGCCTGGAGACGCAAATCCCAAAATCGAGGCTTTGCAAGTAAGGACCCGAACCCTTCGCGGGTACAGAAGGATGCGCGGGTGCATTAACAACGACCAAAGATGATGCTGACAACGGCCCAAGGGCTACCTTCTCTCCTTGATCCGGCAATTGTACATGTAATCATTCACCGCTGGGTGAGGTGATGGGCGTCTCAGGTGCCAGGCAGAAATTTGCTGCAGTTTCTGTGGCACTCTTTCGCACCAACCCACGCTCGACAAACCTACCCAGATGCCCCCTCCTGGCGTGGCTGGGGAACGGAATTCGCCCCAGCCCACGCTCTTCATTCCCCCCCCCCCGGCGTGGCTGGGGAATGGAATTCGCCCCATCCCACTCTCGACCTTCCCTCTTGCCCTTAGCTTGTGCATTCCGCTCTGCCCTTGAGATATGGCCTTGGCACTGTCAACATGTCAACGGCGTGGCTGGGGATCGGGTTCGGAGTAGCGTAAAGCGACCCTCAAAGATATCATTCCCATGAACATGTCCAAATACATGTGTCGAACAAACATGCCGATCGACAACCTGCTGGCCTGTGTCGCCCTGGTGGCGAAACCCCAGTGGGCTCAGGGGAGGTGCTCTTCGGAGATCCCCAATCTCCTTACAGGCCGCCCCGTGCGTCCTCCCCGAAAACACCGGACTGCGGCCATGCACACCTTCGGCACGGAGAGGAGGAGGAGGAGGAGGAGGAGGAGGAGGAGGAGGAGGAGGAGGAGGAGGAGGAGGAGGAGGGGGAGGGGGAGGGGGAGGGGGAGGAGGAACAAGTTAGGTGCGCTCGCGTCAACATCTGACATCCTACCCCTCCCTCCCATCCCTTACCATGGCGCTGCTTTTCTCGATCCGCGGACGCGTGTCGTAGCGGACCTGTGGCTCCGCGCGCGTGTGCGTAGTGGGTGGTGGTGACGTGCGTTGCGTACGTCACTGTGTACCCCTCCCTCCCATCCCTTACCATGGCGCTGCGTTTCTGTGTGCGTGACGCGTGTCGTGCGTGCGTGTGTGCGTGTGCGTGCGTGTGCGTGTGTGTGTGGTGTGTGCGGTGTGTGGGTGGGGTAGTGCGGTGGTGGTGGTGGGTGCGCGATGGTGGTGCGCGTGCGTGCGTGCGTGCGTTGGTGGGTGGAAGTGGCGGTGGGTGTGCGTGCGGCGGGGCGGGGCGTGGTGCGGCGCGGTGGTGGCGGGCGGATGGGCGCGCGAGAAAGAGGCCCGCGCTGGGGCGAGAACGCCATCCTGAACGACGGAGGCAAAACACCGATCCGAAAATGAGGCCCACGCTGCAGCGGGAGCACGATTCGGAACGATTCGGGAGCAGAAATGAGGCCAGCGCCTCAGCGAGAGCAGCATTTTGAAAAAAAACGCAGGCGAAAACCCAACTCCCGGGAATCCTGTGTGTAAAAAAACAGTACGCGGGGGGGGGTCGAATATTCCCAGGACGCCATCAGGGGAAGAGGGAGAGTAGTATTCATATTGAGTAATTGTGGAGGAGGAGGAGGGGGAAGAGAGGGACGTTCGCTTGTGCGTCTCCCGTCTCCTCTGGGGCTTCCCTTGCCCGCAATCGCGTGGCCATCGGCCGGCCGCGGCTCGGAGTGCCGGGCCAGTGAGAGCGCCCGGGGCCAGGTCCGGGGACGGATGGCCTTGCGGGAGGAGGGAGGGCCCAGGCCCCGCAACGCCGTGAGGAGTCGAGTCGGGGGGTCGACTGCAGACAAAATTCGCCCCGACATTGATGTCTTCGTCGAAGCTAGCAGAAGGAGACGCAGCATGCTGCTTCATGAGCGCGACGACCGAGCCAATAAGTTTTTTGGGTGGCAGGGCGATCGTGCTCAGTCGACCTCCCTGCCCGAGATGTAGAAAGGAACAGCAGCACTCAGGCGGAGCGTGGTCTGTTCCGCGATCTCGGCGTCCGAGGGGCTGTCTCCCAGGTCCCCCGCAGGGGTGCGGAGCCAGACTCGTGCCCTGCGCGTCGCGGCCTGTGCCGGAGAGCTGCCCTTTTCTCCAGCAGGCGGGGGTGTGGGGGCGCGGGGGCGCGCAGCTCCTCGCGCGCTGCGCGAAGCTACGCGGCCCGGGTTTCTGGCCTCTGGGGTTCAGTCGGGCCCGTCCGTCTACAGGAGGGACATTCAAAAATAGTTAAAAAGTAGCACGGGCACGATTTGTTCGCTGTATTTCATTATTTCTGAATATTATTTGATTTCTGTTCGTCCAAATTCCCTCTGTAGGGGGACATGCCCGACATAGCTCTGGGGGCGAGGAAGCGCGACCCGTGGAAGAAGAGGCAGACTGCGGCAGATCTCGAGGGCGGGGTCGAGAGCTCCAGGATGTCAGCACTGAAGAACCAAGGCGTCGGATGCCTGGGACCGGGCGCTGCCGCCTGCGGTCCGGTTCGATGCGATTCGAATCGCTGGCTGAGGCCGCGATTCCGACTCGACCCGATCTCTCAGGAGAAACAACACACAGACACAAGTGATCGTCGATTCCCCAGAAAATATAGGAAAGTATGGGAAGTGTGTGGGGGGGGGGGAGACAAAAACGTAGAAAAGATTGAAGATTTTTGTTTGTGTGTCTTTACGTGTGTGTGTCTTTGGGCCTCTGAAGCCTCGCTCGGCTCGCTGGCATATCAGTCGGGGCCGGCCAGAGCCGGGCGCGGCGATCTGATGTCGACTGGACCCGGGACGCGTCGCTCGCGGTCCGATCCGTTTCCGATGGCATTTGCTGCGAGTTCGCGGTCCGACCCAGCCCAGGCGGGGGCGGCCTGTCGCCGACCTATCGGCGACGTGTCTCGGGCCGAACGAAAGGGGGGGGAATAGGGAGGAGGAGGAGGAGGAGGAGGAGGAGGAGGAGGAGGAGGAGGAGGAGGAGGAGGAGGAGGAGGAGGAGGAGGAGGAGGAGGAGGAGGGAGGAGGAGGGGGGGGGGGGGTGCATGGCCCTGGCTGGGCCCCCGCGGGCCGATGGAGGTCTCGGAGAGCCTGGCGCCCTTTCGGGGGGCCAGGGGCACCAGTCGTGTCATCTGCCGGCGCTCGACACCTCCTCCTCCTCCTCCTCCTCCTCCCCCTCCTCCTCCCTCCTCCTCCTCCTCCTCCTCCTCCTCCTCCTCCTCCTCCTCCTCCTCCTCCTCCTCCTCCGGCCCCCATCCTGCGGAGTCGATTCGGTTGCCGAGAGGGCAGCCTCCCAGATGGGGTCGGAGCAGATGTGGTCGGAGGATCGCGCCGCCTCGCCGATGCATCGGCGAGTCGGCTCGATGTGGAGCCCGGTCTTCTGCACGCCGGCGTCCCCGATGCATCGCTGACGTCGGCGATGCATCGCAGATGCATCGCCGATGTATCGGCGATGCGGCGCGATCCTCCGAACCCATCTACTTGGACTCCATCTGGGATGCCTCTGATCTCGACAGGCTCCCGTCAATATTCGCGGGCCTGCTCCCGCCACGTCTGGTCCTGGGCCGTGGCCACTCAAGGGTACTTCGGTCAATGGGGCTCCGTCCACCCCAGAGTCTGGAGTGGGCTGGGGGCACGTTGCGGCTTGGGTGGGGCGAGTTAGGCCAGGAAGCGAACAGGACACACCAGAGGTTGCCAGTTTCACGGCCCGCGGGCATCGAATGCAAACGAAGGGCCTTTTTTTGTTTTGTTTGAATTGTGGTTCCTACTCGAGCCAACGGATTGGGCCCCTGTTGAAAGGAGTCTGTAGGTAGCCTGTCAAGATGGCCAGAGGGGCCAGGGCTGCCATAGATCTCATCCTGGAGGGCAACCATCCGGTCTCGAAGGTGCCTTTCTAGTTTCGGGTCCTGGGAGGCTGGCCTCAGTGGCCAGACCATGGGCACTGGCGTGCAGGGCGCTGGCGGAAAACTGGATGGCGTCGCTATGACTGTAATACTGTAATTCTCCCACCCCGCTCGCTCGCGGTCCAGCCTCTTTCTTTCCTTCTTGCCCTGAGGAAGCCAGGTCCCTTGCACGCGAGCTCCGCCGATGGATCCAGTGGGGGGTTGGTGCAGCGGGCGGGGTTGGTACACTCTTCCTTTCACCTCTGCCGCAGGAGAGCACGTCCCCGAAGCTACATCTCGAGCACCTTGCTCTTTATCGTTGATAGTTCAGTACGTGCCACTGTCAGTATCATCTCTCCTCCTCATTTCCTTGTGTGTGTAGTGCTGCCTTTCCTTCTCTTTTTCTTCTTCTGCCCCTACCCGCTGCCTCCCAAGCTCCTCGCCTCTTCCTCGTCGCTTCTCCTCCTCCCCTTCCTGTTCCTCCCCTGCCACCGTCTCCGCTTCCTCCTCCTCCTCCTCTTCCTCCACGCTTCTCCTCCTCCTCCTCCTCCTCCTCCTCCTCCTCCTCCTCCTCCACGCTCCACGCTCCTCCTCCTCCTCCTTCTCCTCCTCCTCCTCCACGCTCCGTCCTTCCTCTTGCTGTCGCCTCGGCAGGTACAGGACGGAGATCAGGGAGCTCCAGGACCAGCAGCGCGAGCAGACCGGCCTGCAGGAGCCAGGGGGGGGCGGCAGGCGGTCCGCACGAAACGCAGGGGCCTTGGATCGAGTCGGGCGTGTCCCTCTACAGGGGGAAGCTTCAGAAATAGTAAAGAAATAGTCTGGGGACGATTTTTTTAACTACTTTTGAGTACGTTTGGGTTAGTGTTTGACTCTTTCTTTATTTTTCGTCCAAGCTCTTCCTGTAGAGGGACAGGCCCGATGGATCGACTTTCGAGGTGCAAAAGCCCATATGGATTTCTTCGGATGCAACTCCTGGGAGGTCAAATTCTGTTTTCGCCCTGGTCCGAAGTCCGGCTTAATCCCGCTTAATCCCGCTCAATCCGGCTTAATCCCCAGCTGAATCCTGCTTGGTCCGAGGCCCTTTCCGGCATAACCGCTCCCAAATGGGGCTTAATCCTCCTTAATCTTTCCGATGAAAACCTCCCAGTAGTTGCCTCCTAAGATTTCACCTTGCGCCCTCCACCCTAAGGAAATGCTCAGATAGCGGCTCCGTGGGTTGTTCTTCCACCCTTTGTCGGGCTGCCGGGCCCTCTCTGCACGGGCCCAGGAGACCGCCCGAAGCCAGGCGGCCCCCGGGATGGAAAAAAACAGGCGGCCCCGGGATGGAAAAAAAAGCAGGCCCGGGGGACGCCGCGGGGGCAAAATTTGACATCGCTCGGACGTGTGCATTTTTCCTTCGGCGAGGACCATCGACGTGTGCATTTTCCCTTCGGCCAGGACCATTTGGCGAAAAAGCGACCCACGGCACCGAAGAAAACACAGGGAATGGACGTCCGAGCGATGACGAGAAAAGGACCCGCTCCGTGCAGGAACCGCTGCAGCCAGACCGAGGTCTGGGAACAAGGTCGGTTCGGGGAGGGTCGGAGGAGGAACAGGTACCCGTACCTCTACCCTTCGGCCGTTTTCCCTTTTTTGGGCATCCTGGGAGGCCCCGTGGCCACCGCTGGATTCGCTTCGAAATTGTGGTCAGAACGCACCCTGGGAGAGGTCCGGGGAGTAGCGGTATCGGTACCTTTTGGTTTCCCCACCAGTGTTCTTCGTGCTTGTTGAATGTTATTGTACATACTGGGGAGGGTCGCCTCAGCTGTTCTGCCTGTTTTGGCCGGCGGAGGGTCTCATGCTACTGGGGGATCTTCTTCTGGCCTTGGCCCGGCTGTATCCTCGTGGCAAAGCGAGGGCGGATGAGGAAGCAAGGAGGTGGCCAAGGAGAGTGTGAGCCCAAAGCCGCGACGGAGGCAGGGATGCATATCCATCCGTAGCGTCATCTCACCCCCCACGGTCGTCCTCTTCGCCCTGAGTATGCATTTCGGGCCTTCCCCTCCTCCTTCCCGTGTGCCTCGTCGTGATCCTCCCCCCTTCCCGTCTCCTTCGTCCCTGAGGGAAGGCGAGAGGGCCGAAGGAGCGGGAGGCAGGCGTGGCAGGGGGAGGCCTAGGTGGATCTCTCAAGCTCTGCGCCGTCTCGGGCGGTGTGCGTTGCGAGCAGGAACGCAGCAAAGCCACAGGAGAGTGCGGCATTGGCAGTGTAGCTCCGCACGCGTGACAAATGCTAACGAGCAGGAACACAGCGAAGCCCCAGGAGAGCGAGGCATTGACCTAGCTTCGCACACGGGGCCCTCCCTGCCAGGACACGGCCAAGGAGCAGGTGGAGGCCCTCGAGCGCCACCTGAAGGAGTGCCAGGAGAAGGACCGGGCGGGGTTGGCAGGACGGGGCGGAACACACACACACACACACACACACACACACACACACACACACACACACACACACACACACACACACACACACACACACACACACACACACACACACACACACACACACACACACACACACACACACACACACACACACACACACACACACACACACACACACACACACACACACACACACACACACACACACACACACACACACCACACACACACACACACACACACACACACACACACACACACACACACACACACACACACACACACACACACACACACACACACACACACACACACACACACACACACACACACACACACACACACACACACACACACACACACACACACACACACACACACACACACACACACACACACACACACACACACACACACACACACACACACACACACACACACACACACACACACACACACACACACACACACACACACACACACACACACACACACACACACACACACACACACACACACACACACACACACACACACACACACACACACACACACACACACACACACACACACACACACACACACACACACACACACACACACACACACACACACACACACACACACACACACACACACACACACACACACACACACACACACACACACATACACACATACACACATACACACATACACACAGACACACAGACACACAGACACACACACACATATATATATATATATAGGTGTGTACATAAATACACATATATTTATACAAGGACCGATCACAACTTTGTTTAGCTTGGTTGTTGCCTTAATGTTGTTTTCCGTTCTACGCCAACGCGTTTTGAACATCGTTGTGGTCGGTCTTTGTGTGCATATATATATATATATGTATATATGCATATATATATATATATACAAACAGATATCGCGAAAGCGGCGGCGCCGGCGGCGGCGGCGTCAACGACGACGCTGACGTGGGCCAGAGTCCTCAGGGATGGTTCTTGGGGTCTCTTGGGAAGTCTCTCGGGGGCCTCGGGGGAGGAATTATGGGGCCTCTTGGGGGCCTCTTGGGAGCCTTGTGGGGTCCTCTTGGGAGCCTCTCGGGGGCCTGGTTGGCAGGGCAGGGCGGAATATATTGTTGTTTCTCTCTAGGCAGCCGTATCACTCGGTGCCGAGGCGCCGACACTCGTCGCCACCTTGTCGGCCGCGCCTCGTCTGTCGCGCTTCCTTGTCTCACGTCGAGTGTGCACATGGGCATCTGTCGAAGGATGACCCTCTCATATCATAGTGCTCGATGCGTCTGTGCGGGCGTCGTGTTTCATTGGGGAGAATCTCAAATCAGAATGAACTTCCGTTCTGTAGAAGTCCTCGTGGGGCAGTACATGCTTCCTGGCGGGCCTCGAAAATAACCAGCCTATCCAGGGTCGGCACTCCTGGTCCAGCAGGTTCGAACGATGGCTCCCCGCTGCCTGGGCCAGCACAGATCCACGGAAGCGGTTGTCGTGTCCCACGCGCCAATCCGAAGCGCGCTGCAGCCAACACGCTGAAGTGAGGACCGCTTTTGGGGGTTCGGGAGGGGCTCCAGTTTTTTCGGGCGCTGCTCCCACGGAGGCCGGGGAAGCTGCGCGTGGCTGGGGCTCGCCATTGCCAGAAGAACTGTCTCGTTCTCCATTTGGCGGTCTTCCTGGCACAGTCGGGGCGCTGAAGGAGGAGCCCTCTTCGTTGGTGGAGGGGCCGGGTGTTCCTTGATCCTTCTGCAGCTTGCCCTGTTTTCTTGTTTTTTTTTAGGTCTTCTCATGGGAAATCCAAGTTTAACTTATGGGAAAGAGGGGCCTCGTTCCTTATTTTTGGGCTCCTGAGGTCACCGCCCCGACTGGGCGGTGCGGCTCGTGCTCGGGTGGTTTTGATCGGGGCGCGTGCCGCCAGTGCTGTGGCCAAGGGCGCAGGCCTAGAGGGTGACGCCAACACCAACCTCAGCGGCGTGCCTCCACCGAGGGAGGTAGATCCCGATCTCGGTGACGGTGGTAATGTTCTGGCTGCCAGGGTGGCCGAAGTCTTACCACCAGCACCGAAATCTAGGACCACCTTCCCCCTGTGGAGGCAGCCCACCCCTGTGCTGGTGCTGGTGCCCACCCCCAGGCCTCCAGCAGTGGCGCAGGGTCCGTCCCAGGAGGCGTGAGCTCGGCCCTGCCGGCTCCTCGCTTCGCGGGTGCAGCGCTCCCCTGCCGCGCGGTTCGCTCGAAGATGGGCTCGGCGCGTGGATGGGGAGTGCGGGTGGAGGAGGCTCGGGGCTCGAGGAGCGAGGGTCGATCAGGATCGAGAAGGAGGATCGAGGAGGAAGAGGAGGTGAGGCTCGAGGATCGAGGAGGACGCGAGGGAGGATCGAGGACCCAGGGCCGAGGCGGATCGAGGAGGATCCAGGAGGGGGAGGAGAAGGAGGAGGACCAGTGCAAACTCAAGGCGCATCAACGATGTTGCAACAAACTCTCCCTCCAACCTCCCTCTTCATAGGTCCATACAACAATTTAAACTCACTGCTCGAAGTGCCCGTTTGAAGACAAACGTCTGGGAATTCTCAATCGTGTCGAAACACCACGTCTTGGATTTCAAAGTCGCGAATCAATTTTATGGTTGCGTCCTGGCGATCTGACATCATGCCAGAATGCCGCTCGTGAGACTTCAACACCGCGAGTCAACGCGACTACTGCGCCCTGACAGTCCTGAATTATTCCCGTTAGCCATAAGCTTCCACTACTGTATTTTGATTTTGAACACGAATGTGGGCGGCGACTAGGCGAGAATTGGGTTGCGGCTACACCCTCATAATTAGCGTTTCCGTCTAAAATATTCCCGGAATTGTAGATCTACAGTTGTTTGTCTCAATTCTACATGTTGTTGTATGATGTGTAGAAGCACAGTCCGTTTTGCCCTTCTACAAATGTATGTTTCAAGTGTAACATGTGCGTTTTTCTTCTACGCATGTTTGTGATGTGTAGAAGCTACGCGTTCTGATGGGTAAAATTGGCTCGCCGAAGACAACCTACACAGATCCACTGGTGTGTAGAACTTGATTTCTGTTTCTGAGCCCTCCACTAGTTCGAGGGCGTGCAAACAACCGAAGGCGAGAACTGCATGTTGAAAACGACCCGTCCTCCATCCGTGAAATTCCTGCAAACTTTTATGACGAATGTGCACGGCGAGAAGGCGAGAGTGACACAGATGAAGCCACCCGCCCGCCATCCGTGAAGCCCTTGCAGGCCCCTGGAACGAGTGTGCGCGGCGCTGCGGTGGGAACCGCGTGCGTGAAACGACCCGCTTTCCACCCGTGAAGCGCATGCAGACTTTTCAGGCGAGCGTTCGCGGCGAAGCGGCGAGAACCACAGTTTGATCACGCCCCGTCTTACGTCCCGAAAGCTCTCGCAAACGCTTTTTAGGACGAGTGCGCACGGCGCGCGGGCGAGAGCGACGTTTTGAACACGGCCCGCCCTCCTTCCGTGGAGCTCTTGTGCATGTTGGAGATGCACGTTCGCGGCGCTCAGGCGAGAGCCACACTTTGGAAACCATCCGCCCTCTATCAGTGAAGCTCCTTGCGAACTTCGAGACAGTGCGCGCGGGGCTGAGGCGAGAGCGACATGTTGAAAACGATCCTCCATCCGTGGGACGATTGCTATCTTCAGGTTTTCAGAAGCATCGATGCGGATGCAGCTTTCGGCGAGCCGCCCGGCCCGCCCTACCGACACGTCTCCGGGTGCGACAGGCAGGAGTTCTTGGACAGGCAGAGGAGCTCCCATCGAGGAGGAGGATCGAGCAGTCGAGGCTGGCGCTCTCCGCTGCCCCGCCCCCCACTGCGGAACCTGCCGGGCCTTCTGCCACCCGGGGCGTAACTTGTTCAGCCCGCGGCCCCAGAGGCCTCGACCCCCTCCACAGGCCGCCCGGCGGCGGCGGGACGGCGCCCCCCGGCTGGGCGTCGGGGCGGCGGCCGCGGCGCGGCGACTTCCGCGGGCGGGCGGCGGCAGCGGCGGCGGCGGCGGCGAAGGCGGCAGCGAAGGCGGCGGCGAAGACGGTGGCGGTGGCGAAGCCGGAGATCCTGGCGTTCCCATTCTTTCGGGCCGGGCGCTTCTTCGCCTTTGTATGGGCCCCGGGACCCTCACAGATCGTTCGGGCTCGAAAGGCGAAGCAGAAAGATGGGGTCTAGAGTTAAGTCGGGACTGTCCCTCTACAGGAGGAATATTCGAAAATAGTCAAAAGGTAGTACGGGGATGTTTTTGGATCATGTTCTGACTACGGTTGACTATTTGTTGAACATTTGTCATGTTTTCTCCAGAATCCGCCTGTAGGGGGACACGTCCGAGTGAAGTCTAGAGCCCCAGGCGCGGTTTCTTACTCTGTTGGCCCCTGCGGCGGGAGCTCGGGGATAAGGCGGCGAAGGCCACGGATATTCATGTCTGACGGCCCGGGGGCCCGCAAGCGGACCCCCGGAGGCCGAGGGTGTCGGGGGCCCCAATCAACCGATGTGGTGGCGACGCCGCGTGTGGTGCGTTGGTTCAAGCAGTGACGCAGCGTCCAGGCTCGTCTATAGGCCTACCACGAAGAATGGTCTAAGAACCTGTTGTGGTTTCGACGACATGTTCTCATAACGCTTCTGGCTGGGACCGTCTTGTTTTAACATATCGGGTTTATGCTCTGAGAGCATTGTTTTTGTTCCTGGAACAGCTCCTGGGTTCTGAGAACCTCTCGTGGTAGGCCTATAGAGATGCCGGGGCGGCCGGCCCCTGCTCAATATTCGTGGGGGTTCGAGGTTGTCGCGCGGTGTTGGGGGCTCGGGTCGTTTTCTGGACGACTGGGGCCACCATGGGTCCCCAAGCGGCCCGGCCGCGGGCCGTGCGGTGAGGTCCCCCGGGAGATGCCGAGGTCACCGCCCCGCCGTTTGCCGCGGCACGGCTGTTGGGCCCCCAGAGAGTTATGATGTTCCAACTTATTTTAGCTTAGATCACCAAAAAGAGTTTCGAGCACCAGCAAAGTACCGAGACTGGAGGGTTTTCGCATGTCGGGGCCCGGGAGGCGATACTCGTTCGTCACGGTTTCGATATTTTCCGGGTGTTCGAAATTATTTCTGGGATGTGGTCCTTAAGTACGATGGGAACAACGTAGCCCCAGAGAGGGGAGGGGCAATCTCCTAGGTGGAGGACGTCAATCTTTCGAAGGCTTAAGTCGGGTCTGTCCCTCTACAGGACGAGTGTTCAACAATAGTATTAAAAAAGATAGTCCGATGACGATGTTTTGCGTATTTTGGAATATTTGTTGGGTATATTTTGAATATTATTTTTCACCCAACAACGTTCTGTAGGTGGACATGCCCGACCTAATCGAAGGCCTCCGGGGCTCCCTCCCTGAGATCCGACGTAGCGGACAAATCTGCAATATCGTAAATATCATGCCTGCAGGGCCTGGCCCGGGCCTGGCCCCACACAGCCGGGAGAAAAGTTGTAACAAAATCAACAAGAGTGTCTTGAATGACTTGCACACGGCAACGCCCAAAAATGATCATTCAGTGACATTCGCCTTTCAATGTTGGCAGCGTGCACAGGCGCGCACCATGGGCCAGGTCATTGACATGCCATGCTTTGGCTTGCGCGCCCGGTGGCGACATTTGGAGGCGGACGCCACTCAATGCCCGGGTGCTCTTCCAAACTAATCCTTCACAGGGCCGTTGCCGTGCGGCTTCGTTCCCACAGTCGAATGGCAAACGTGCGCCGCGCAATGCAGACGAGACGTCCTTCGTTAACATTGCCAGGCCGATGTCGCTTCGTGCGACGGTCCCCGCCTGGTCTGATTCAACATCGTTTTGGCTTCCATTATTGTGCCACTTTTGTTTTGCATTTTTTTCACGGGGATGTAGGCCCCATCTTTCTGCTTCATTTTCGAGCCATATCGATCTGTGAGGGCCCGGGGGCCCGAAGAAAGGCGAAAACGCCCGGCTCGAAACATTGAAACTCCAGCTCGGAAGGCCCGCGAGGCCCCCTGGACAAAGATATCCCCACTCATGGGATCAAGCAAACGGCGTTCGCTTCAACGCTTCCAAGGAAAGCGTGCGAAAACTCTCGCACTCCCGTCCGCGCGGCGACGGTTTTAGATTGTTGGGTGTCGCGTTCGATTGCAAGCTCTGGATTCGGGGAGCGAACAGTGACATTAACATAATAACTCGGAGGTCCGCGCGGATTTCTCGAATCGGCGCTGGAGCCCCCTGGCGTGGCCTCTGGCCCCGCCCCTGGCGAGCTCCGAGCGCCGGGGAGGGGGTCCAGCGCCGATCCGAGAAATCCGCGCGGACCTCCGAGTTCTGATTCTTGTGTATTTTTCCGTTCTTTGATGGACGTGCGAAGCAGGCCCGCAGCCCAGTAGTGCTTGGGCGGGCGCGGGGCCGCCGCCGCCGCAGCGCCGCCGCGGCGCCGCCCCCCAGGAGGGCGCCTCGGACCGGGAGGTCGCCCTGCGGCGCCGCGCCCTGCGGCAGGCCGCCGACAAGCTGGCCGAGGCTGGCCTCCTCCTCCTCCTCCTCCTCCTCCTCCTCCTCCTCCTCCTCCTGCTCCTCCTCCTTCTCCTCCTCCCTCCTCCTCCTCCTCCTCCTCCTCCTCCTCCTCCTCCTCCTCCTCCTCCCTCTCCTCCCCTTCCTCCTCCCCTTCCTCCTCCTCCTCCTCCTCCTCCTCTCCTCCTCCTCCTCCTTCCTCCTCCTCCTCCCTCCTCCTCCTCCTCCTCCTCCTCCTCCTCCTCCTCCTCCTCCTCCTCTCTCCTCCTCCTCCCCTCCTCCTCCTCCCCCTCCCCCTCCCCCTCCCCCCTCCCCCTCCCCCTCCCCCTCCTCCCTCCCTCCCCCTCCCCCTCCTTCCTCTCCTCCCTCCTCCCCACGTTTCTTCTCCCCTCTTCCTCTTCCCCCTCCTCCTCCTCCTCCTCCTTCTCCTCCTCCTCCTCCTCCTCCTCCTCCTCTCCTCCTGCTCCTCCTCCTCCTCCCTCCTCCTCCTCCTCCTCCTCCTCCTCCTCCTCCTCCTCCTCCTCCTCCTCCTCCTCCTCCTCCTCTTCCTTCTCCGTAGCCATTCTGGCTCCAGCCATGTTGGCTCTTGCTGGTCTCAAGCCCCCTGGTTGCCATTTCCCCTCGCGGCATTTGGCGTCCGGTGCTGGGAGTTTGAGGAGATGGCTGCGGTCAGGTGCAGGGCCGCCCTCGCGGCGGCGGCGGCGGAGCAGCCCCCGGCAGTGGCCCCGGCGGCCAAGCCTTCGTAGTGGCCCGTGCGGAGGGCCAGGTAGGAGGCCAGGCGCCAGGCGGCCGCTATGGGCGCTTGGCGGAGGCGCTGCGCCGCGTGGCGGAGCTCGAGGCCCGATGCGCGGGGCTCGAGGTCGAGATGCGCGCTATGGAGGCGGCGCAGGCAGCGTTGCGCGCGGCTGCCGCGGCGACCGAGCGCGACGCGCCAGGGCCGGGGGCCGCGGAGCCCGAGCTCGTGGCGAGGCTCGCCCTGGTCGCGTCCATCCTCGGGGCGGACTTGGGCGGGCATACGGCGCCCGCCCACGCGGTCGGACGGCGGCACGTGGTGAGCCATCATCCGACCGTGCCGGCCGGGGACGTGCTACAGATGTCGCAGCGCACGCTCAACAGAGTGCAGCGCGCTGCGAAGCGGGCGGGCCCTCGGAGGCGGCCCAGCAGGCGGCGAGCACCGGCCCAGCGCCAGCCCGTTGCGCGGGCGGCGGCTGACGCGGTGCCGTGCGAATGGACGCCGGCGGCGCCTAGGCGACACCGTGGGGCGCTGAGCGCTCCTCGTGGGGGGCCGCGCTGCCGCAGGCAGCTGCCCCAGCAGGCGGACCAGTGCAGCTTGGGGCCTGCCCCCAGGGTCGGGGGCGCTCGGGTGGGTGCCACCGGCTGGGGCGGTCGCCCGCAGCGGCGACGACGGCGGGCGCTCGGCGGTCGACGGCCCTGCGGCGGTGTGAAGGGTCAGAGCCCCGAATCATCAGGGGTAACTTGGGTCAGGGTTAACTCGGGTTCGTGTTTCGGGAATCCAAACCCGAGTTACCCCAGACCCGAGTTACCTCGGATAACTCGGGCGTCCAGAGCCCCACATCATCAGGGGTAACTCGGGTCAGGGCTAATTCGGGTTCCTCTTCCGGGAATCCAAACCCGAGTTACCCCGGACCCGAGTTACCCCGGATAATTCGGGCGCCCAAAAGGGGGGGGGAAGTGAGGAGGAGAAGGCCTTCTCAGAAGGCGGCGGGACTCCTCAGAAGCCCTCGCGCCTTCGAAGGAGCTTCCCGTGCCTTCGGGGTTAAGGCCTGGCAAGCGCCCAGAGGTCCGACGTCGGGATTTGTTCCATGCGCGGTCCCCAGAAGTCTCGACCCGTTCCCCAGGACCGGTGTTTCATCTCGAGCCGTTGTTTGACGGCCCTGGGTCCCGACGAGGGCCCCTATATATATATATATATATATATATATATATATATATATATATATATATATATTTATATATATAGAGGCCGAACATCGAGAAAAGCCTCCGCCCTGTTTTTTGTCAATGCGTTGGAGGTCTGGGCTTCTCACAGGAGGCCGGGGGAGTTCCGCGCCCCTTGAGAAGGCCTTCTCTTTCTCACTGCCCCCCCGGGCTCGCCGCCCAACGAGGGGCCGCGAGGGGAGCGGCGCACCGAGTGCCGCCGGCGCCGGGAGACCTGCAGATTGATCCGGCGTGGCGATAAGAGGCTGCAGCAGCGTAGAGGAGCACGCCCGGAGCCCCAGGCCCCAGAGGCCCAACGTATTGGAGTGAAAAAGTCAAGACGGAGGTCTTTCCCATTTTTCGGCCTCTATATAGGGGCCCTCGCCGGGCCCTGGGACCGTCCAAAAACGACTCAGGACGAGAAGCCGGTCCTGGGGAGTGTAAAACAGGGCTAGGATCGGGATAAATCGCTCCAGAGCGTTCCGGAGCGCTCTCAGAGCGTTCCGGAACGCTCTGGAGCGGCCGCGGCGCCCAATACATCCTCCAAACCCGCCGATTCTCAGAGACTTCGAGTTATCCCGATCCGATTTTGTCCCGATCTTCGCGTCGTCTTAGAATGGGTCGAGACTTTTGGGGGACCGAGTATGGAAAAAAATCACGGCGTCGGATCTCTGGGACCCCCTCTCTTTCTGCGTCGTGTTCCGAGCCGCATCGATCTGTGAGGGTCCCGGGGCCCGGAAGGGGACGAAACGGCCCGTCGCGAAGGAGTTGCAACGCCAGGATCACGCGAGCAAACCTTGGCATAAACATAAAAAACTCGGAGGTCCGCGCGGATTTCTCGGATCGGCGCTGGAACCCCCCTGGCGGCGCCTCCGGCACCACCCCCGGCGCGCTCCGCGCGCCTGGGAGGAGGGTCCACCGCCGATCTGGGAAATCCGCGCGGACCTCCGAGTTTTGATGTTCCTGCCGCCGCTTGTTCCCCTAAGGATCTCTGGGGAGCTCCCGCGCGCACGTGCTCTGGCGTGGCGCCCGGGCTGTGCCGGCCGGGGCGGCTCCGCGTCGGCCCCGGCTTCCCGTGCGGCCATCTTTAGCTCGGGCTCAGCGGGGCGAACAAACCCAAAGAAACAGAAAAATCAACAACAAATCGGAATGCTCCAGCCCAGTCAAACCGATCGCATTCGCTTACTATGTTTGCCTCTCCCCCTGCATGGAGGGACAGGCCCGACTCGAGGCCACCTCCCGGCCGCGGCCCGGGGCCTCGCCGGCGCGCGGTGCCCTCCTCGGCCCGCGGGCCCCGGGGGGGGGGGGGGGGGGGCGCGCGGCCCCGTCGAGCCCCTTAAAGGGGGCTTGCCTTCCGCCTCCGCCGCCTCGCGGGGGCCGCGCGCTGCCTCGCCGCGGCGTCGGGCCACGGGGAGGCCCTCCGCGGGCCACCCGGGGAGAACGCCTCGGGAGGAGGAGCCGGCCCTGGGCAGGCGCACCTCCACCCCGCTCCACCACAAGAGGCGTGTGTTCGGCTCGCCGCCCCGTCTTCCCTCGACCCGTCTTCCCTCTGCTCCCCTCTTCGCGGCTGCACCCCGCCTCCACCTCAGGCACCCCGCCGCGGTGGAGGGGGCAGGACAGGTGGCTGCACGGCGACGTTCGACCGCCACGAGTCGGGTCAGGTGGTCCCGCCCTGATGGTCCGCTACCGAAAATTTCCGGTAGCGCTCCGCAGAGATCGGTCGCTACCGAAATACCGAAACGTAGCGCCCAATACCGGTATCAGACCGTTCTGAAATCCGCTATTTCAACGCCCTCAAACGAAGATTCGGTCGCTACCGAAATTCGGGGTGCGTCGAAATCGCTACCGAAAATTTCCGGTACCAGACCATCTGGGCGGGGAGCGCCCCGGGGGTCCAGGGGCGCGCCTCCCTCGGGGTCCGTGGCCGTCGTGGCGAAGCGGGGTCGAGGCGCGCCCCCCCGCACTTCAGGGGCGCCGGCGCGCGCAGGGAGGAGACGGGCGCTCGGTCCCGGGCATCCAGCTTCTGGAGCGAGAGCGGGGGGGCGGCCAAGAGGGGGGTGATGACCATAGTCAGAGGCCAGCAACATATGTACACGTACGCGGTTAGCTTCCCCTGGAGGGCGTTCGAACGAGGACGTTCGTGCACTCAAGATCGCGGAGGGCGTACATGTACATATGTCGTTGCTCGCTCACATAGGGCGGGGGGATCCTGGCGCGGGCCATGGTGTTTCCTCAAATTTCGCGGCGCCTTGTCGGATTTCATTACGTCCCTGGACCCCCCCTTTGGGCCGCGCACATGCCGCCGGCCATCATTTGCGTCCCCCCTCGTAATGGCCCCCCTCCTGGCCGCCCCCCAAACGAGTCAGCACGGCGGTCTCGAGGAGCTCTCGGCCCCGGAAGGCCGAGAACACCACGTGAGGCAGAATCTGGTCCAGGATACCGTCGGGGCGCTGAAGAAGGAACCCTTTTCGTTGGGGAGGAGCTCGGTGCTCCTTAATTGTTTCACAGTTTGCCTAAGGTATTCCTTCAGTTTTCGGTGGGAAGCCGAACCTTAGACGTATGGAAAAGGAGCCTCGTTCCTCATTCAGGGTTCCTTGGGTCAGCGCCCCGACTGTAAGGACAAATCGCTGCAGAGCGTTCCAGGGCGCTTTCGCAGCGGTTCTGGAGCGCCCTAGAACGGCCGCGGTGCCCGACACATCCCCCAGACCTGGGGGCTCTCCGATCTACGTACCCATCGGTCGTGAAAGTAGGTATTTCTGAACTCCCAGAAACTAATGTACTTCAAGCGCCTTCCTACTTCAAGAAACGATATGCTTTTGCTGCGTCGTATTACTCTCTGGGCGGGCCCGAACCCAATCTACTTGATCCGCCTTCCTACTTCATGTTTGCACCTGCTTTTTCCGACCGATGGGTACCCTCATCCGGCGTTGTCCTGCAAAGAGGAAGAGTGTGCAGAAGCATGCGCTTTTTCGGAGGCCCGTGCGGATGCCTTGGCTCAGGCCTGTGCTCAAGCAGTTTTGCCTGCTCCTCCCGTCGTTCTATCGCGCCTTCGTCTTGGATTGAGCTGGGCGCCCGCAGCAGCGCTGACCCGCGCAGGAGCTGCCTTCTGTGCGAGGCCCCCGCGGCGCTCCTCGGTGGGCCGGGCCCTGTCGCGGTCCGGCCGCCGCGTGTCCGCACCGCGTGCAGAGATCGGCGAGCCCCGTACCACAAGAGCCGCCCTTCCAGTCAAGACTGGCAGCAAGGATGGTCGACTTCCCAAGGGCCATGATGTCCCAGCCTACTTCAGCCTTGATCACCAGGAAGGATATCGAGCACCAGAAGAGTACAGAAGCTCGAAGGTGTTCACGTGTCGGGCCCTGGGAGACACTCGCCCGACACCGTTTCGACACTCTTTCGACCCTCTTTCGACACTTTTTTCCGGGTGCTCGACATCGTTTCTGGGATGTGGTCCTTCCGCACGATGGGAGCAACACAGCCCAGGGGTCACTACTCCAGATTTCGTAATAAAGGGAGGGGGGTCTCATTTCGGGGGGGGTCTCTTCCAGGCTATCTTGGAGGGCCTGGGGGGGTCTGGGGACGATGTTTTGGAGGGTTCTCCCACGGGGGAGGTCCGAAATGGCTTGTCTTGGAGGGCCCAGACCCCCTCCCTTTCATTACGAGATCTGGAGTACCCTCGTGCCCTGGCCCCTCCGGCCATCTTCGGCGATACCCTCCGCCCCTCTCGGTGGCCGGCCCCTCCTCGCAGAGCCTCGGCACGGGCGTCCGAGGGCTTCTCGCACCTCCCCCCTCGCGCGTCGCTGCGGCCAGTGCCGGCTGTGGCCTGCCAGGCGCAGAGGGGGGCGAGGGGGGAGGGGGAAAAGTCGGGCAGGGCGAAAGGGGGGGATTGGGAAAGGGGGGGTACGAAATTTGCTGCATGCAGCTGGTTTCGGCCTCACCGAGGGGCCCATTCCTCGATACATGGCCGCCTCCGGCGCCGGGAGGCGCCGGGAGCTGATTCTCAAACCCCCCCTTTGCTATCCCCCCCTTTCGCCCGACCCGAAAAAGGCTTCTCGGAACGAGGCTGCTTCCTAGAAGGCGCCGCGACTATTTGTGAGTGGAGGGCCTCGCACCTCCCCCTCGCGCGGCGCTGCGGTCAGTGCCGGCTGCAGCCTGCCATGCGCAGAGGGGGGCGGGGGGGAGGGGGAAAAGGCTTCTCGGACAGAGGCTGCTTCCTAGAATCGGGAGCGGAAAAGAGGGGGGGTGATGACTAGGGGGGGTGAATATCATGGCGCGGGCCACGATATCTCCGCAGATTTCATGGCGCCTCTTCTTACTTTATTACGTCCCAGGCCCCCCCGCTGGGCCGCGCACATGCCGCCAGTCATGATTTGCACCCCCCCCTCTTGGACACCTCCCTCTTGGCCGCTCCCGATAGAAGGCGCCGCGACCCCTGCTCGTGAGTGTAAGGCCGGCGCCTCCTATGCAGCAGCCTCCTTCCGAGAAGCCTTCCCGCCTCCACCTGCCCCCCTCTGCGCGCCGCCAAGTCCAAGGGGCTTGCATCCTCTTCGCGCATCCCTACGGCAGGTTCGCGTCGTGGCGACTCGCCGCGACCCCGCCGCGAGCGTTCAACGTTGAACGCCGCGTGCGACCCAGAGTCGGTCGATGTTGAACGATTCGACGTCTCGGCAACGGCCGATCGTTCCAGGTTGAACGACCCCCGTGGTGCCAGGAACCAACGCCGAAGTCGACGCGACATGAATCTACTGTTCGGCGGCGAGCGAGGGGGGGAAATGAGAAGGAGAAGGCCTTCTCAGACGGCGGGACTTCTCAGAAGCCCTCGCGCCTGCTGAGAAGCTTTCTGTGTCTTCGGCGAAGGCGCAGAGAAAGCTTCTCGGCGAAGGCCGGGGGACCTCCGAGCCGATCCTGCGAAGGTCAAGCAGTGGCGAAGCGCCCCGGCGTTCCTATAGCCCTGCCAAACAATGTTCTAAGAACCTTTTGTGGTTCCCACAGCATGTTCTCAGAACATTTCTGGCCGGGAGTGTCTTGTTTTCTCACCTCGGGCCCATGTTCTAAGAGCCTTGTGCTTGTTCTTCTTAAAGCGCTTCTGAGTTTTAAGAACATGTCGCGGTATGACTACAGGAATGCCGGGACGGCCGGCCCCTGCTCAAGTTGGGCGTTGCGTAATGGAGGGGTCATAAATGGGGGGGTGTCGCGGGTGGTCCGAAAAGGTACCCAAACGGTACCTAAACGAGCCCCCTGGGGCTCCGGAGGGGCCCGAAAGGGGCACGAAAGGGGACCGTTTCTGACCCCCCCATTTGTGACCCCCCCATGAAGCCACGCCCAATCAAGAAGGCCCGCCCTCCTCCTCGCCTCCCCCCCCCCGGGCTCGCCGCCGCACTGCCCTCTCGGGCCTTCCCGTGCCCGGCGCCACGTCCTGCCCGTGGCCGACTCTCGGGCGAGGGCACGCATGGCTCACCAGGTGGGCGCGGCGGGGCCCCCGGGGCCGTGGGGAATCGCACGCTCCCGCCGCCGAGCGAGGCTGCACCGGAGGAGGAGGAGGAGGAGGAGGAGGAGGAGGAGCAGGTCGGGGAGGGCACCTCTGAGGAGTCCCGCCGCCCTCTGAGAAGGCCTGCTCCTTCTCATGCCCCCCCCTCGCTTGCCGCCGAAGCTGGTCGGGCGATCGCAGACATGGGTCAAGGGGGCGTGGATCAGCGACGGGTCCCGCTTCCATGGGGAATCGCCCATCCCCGCCGCCGAACGAGGCGGCGCCGGCCGCATTCTGGGGAGGGCACCTCCCCCGATCCATGGATCTGGCGACCGCGCGCCAAATCCATGGATCGCTAATCCATGCTTGCGCGCCCCCGATGCATGTTCGGGTCGGACGCACGCCTCCAGGGAGGCCACGTGTGGTCCCCCCCGTCATCCCGATGGCGACGGCGACGACGACGGCGGCGACGACGGCGGCGACCACGACGACGACGGCGACGACGGCGACGACGACGGCGACGACGACGACGGCGACGACGACGAGGGCGACGACGAGACTCGCGCCCCCGATACGCCAGAGGCCCCTCCTTCCCCTGGGGGGCGGCGGGGCGGCGAGCCCCCCCCCGCGGGCAGGCGGAGCACGCGGCCAGCGCCGTCGCGGCCGAGCTGCGCGGGCTGCAGGACCGGCGGCGGGAGCTGCTGCGCCGCAGCGTGCTGGAGGAGTCCGCTGCCTCCCCCCGCTCGAGTGCCAAGCCCAGGTCCGCTTCTGGTTTTGCCTCTTCTTCTGCTTAATTAGTATTATGTGTTTACTTTTCTGAGTATTATGTTTCTTTGTCTTTTTCTTCCCCTCTTCCTCTTCCTCTTCTTCTTCTTCTTCTTATTATTCTTCTTCAGCTTCTTCTTCTTCTTCCTCTCCTTCTTCCAATTCCTCCCTCCTCCTCCTCCTCCTCCTCCTCCTCCTCCTCCCTCCTCCTCCCTCCTCCTCCTCCTCCTCCTCCTCTCCTCCTCCTCCTCCTCGTCCTGCCTCCTCCCTCCTCCCTCAACCTCCTCCTCCTCCTCCTCCTCCTCCTCCTCCTCCTCTGGCCTGCTCCTCCTCCTCCTCCTGCTTCTCCCTCCTCATCCTCCTCCTCCTCCTCCTGCTCCTCCACCTTCTCCACCTCCTCCTCCCCTCCTCCTCCTCCTCCTCCTCCCTCCTCCTCCTCCTCCTCCTCCTCCCTCCTCCCCCTCCTCCTCCCTCCTCTCCCCTCCTCCTCCTCCTCCTCCTCCTCCTCCTCCTCCTCCTCCTACTCCTCCTCCTCCTCCTCCTCCTCCTCTCCTCCTCCTCCTCCTCCTCCTCCTCCTCTCTCCTCCTCCTCCTCCCTCCTCCTCCTCCTCCTCCTCCTCCTCCTCCTCCTCCTCCTCCTCCTCCTCCTCCCTCCTCTCTCTCCTCCTCTGTCCTCCTGCTCCTCCTCTCTCCTCCCTCCTCCTCCTCCTCCTCCTCCCCTCTCCTCCTCCTCCTCCTCCTCCTCCCTCCTCCTCCTCCTCCTCCCTCCCTCCTCCTCCTCCTCCTCCTCCTCCTCCTCCTCATCATCATCATCATCATCATCATCATCATTATCCTCATCCTCATCTCCTCCTCATCATCACCTCATCCTCCTCCTCCTCCTCCTCCTCCTCCTCCTCCTCCCTCCTCCTCCTCGTTCTCCTGCTCCTGCTCCTCCTCCTCCTCCTCCTCCTCTTCCTCCTCTTCTCCTCCTCCTCCCTCTTCTGGCCCTCCTCCTCCTCCTCCGGGCCCTCCGCGCACTCCCGTCGTTGATGGTGCTGCTGCTGATGGAAGGACATGGGTCGGAGGGGGGCTGAGCCTGTCAGTGTGATCTTCGCGGTGCGGGGCTCCACGTTGCTCTTTGTTGGGGTGGAGGAGCAAGGTTGATTCGCCCCAGGGGGCGCAACAATCAAGGATATCCGCCCATGGGATGACCTCCAGGGCCGATCCGCCCGTAGAATGACCTTCAGGGCCGATCCGCCCGTAGAAGGACCTCCAGGGCCGATCCGCGGATTGCCAGCACTGGGGAAGGGCTCGAACCAACACCTGCAGCCCGGGGCCGCCAGCTGCGCCGATGCCCGCAGTTCCAGGCGGCACATCGTGGCTGTCGGGAAGCCTGCGTTTGGCATCGTTTAAGCAATCCCCATCCCCTATCCCCATCCCCTTCGAGACCCCCACCGAATTACACCCCAGTTGGGGAGACACCCCTCGAAGCCCGAAGGGAACGACCTACATCCCCAGGACGAAAGTTTTTTCCTCTTGGGCCCGGAACGACGGTGTGAAGTCTTGAGCAGACCCGTATGAGAGAACTAACGTCGGATCTCATGAAGCTCGCGCGGATCCAAATGTGGTTTTGGTGTTTGTTTCGGTGGATCCGATTTCCGTCCGTACGGATCTGATTTCGGATTAGCTGGGCCCGTGTCCAGTCTTATTTTTTACGGCGGATCCGATTTCTACCCTGTTTTAAATTTCTATTATTAAATTAAACCAGGGAGCCGGAAGAAATCGGATCCGCGGACCCCGCAAACCGCCCGTGTTAAGATTCTATGGGGGAGGGGGGTTCGGCAATCGCCTTTCCACGATGGGCCCTGCGTCGTCTCGCGCGCTCCCATCAACTCCCCGCGCGAGCGGGCCCCATTCAACATGAATACATACATCCCTCCCCCGGTTGCTGCTAACAGCTCGTCCGGTCGCCGTCCGTTCGGCGGCGCCGACGTTGTCTCGCGAGCTGCTCATGGCCATTCTCATTTCAAGAGGCAAATCTTTCGTCCTGCGTAAGTGCGTTTCGGCCCTGCGTCTCCTCACCCAACGGACTGCCTGTGAGAAGTAGTGTCGGCTGTTTGGTAACCAACAACGGATTGCGCGTGAGATGTGGTGTGTCGGCTATGTGGTAACCAACGAGTCCGAAGGCCAAGACACTAGTGCATTTCGGCCCTGCGTCCCCTCACCCGACGGACTGCCTGTGAGATGTGGTGTCGGCTGTGTGGTAACCAACAACGGATTGCGTGTGAGATGTGGTGTGTCGGATATGTGGTAACCAACGACTCCGAAGGCCAAGCCGCTCATCCCCAGGACGAAAGTTTTTTCCTCTTGGGCCCGGAACGACGGTGTGAAGTCTTGAGCAGACCCGTATGAGAGAACCAACGTCGGATCTCATGAAGCTCGCGCGGATCCAAATGTGGTTTTGGTGTTTGTTTCGGTGGATCCGATTTCCGTCCGTACGGATCTGATTTCGGATTAGCTGGGCCCGTGTCCAGTCTTATTTTTTTGGCGGATCCGATTTCTACCCTGTTTATTATATTACTAAATTAAACCAGGGAGCCGGAAGAAATCGGATCCGCGGACCCCGCAAACCGCCCGTGTTAAGATTCTATGGGGGAGGGGGGTTCGGCAATCGCCTTTCCACGATGGGCCCTGCGTCGTCTCGCGCGCTCCCATCAACTCCCCGCGCGAGCGGGCCCCATTCAACATGAATACATACATCCCTCCTCCCCCGGTTGCTGCTAACAGCTCGTCCGGTCGCCGTCCGTTCGGCGGCGCCGACGTTGTCTCGCGAACTGCTCATGGCCATTTTCACCTCAAGAGGCAAATCTTTCGTCCTGCGTAAGTGCGTTTCGGCCCTGCGTCTCCTCACCCAACGGACTGCCTGTGAGAAGTAGTGTCGGCTGTTTGGTAACCAACAACGGATTGCGCGTGAGATGTGGTGTGTCGGCTATGTGGTAACCAACGAGTCCGAAGGCCAAGACACTAGTGCATTTCGGCCCTGCGTCCCCTCACCCAACGGACTGCCTGTGAGATGTGGTGTCGGCTGTGTGGTAACCAACAACGGATTGCGTGTGAGATGTGGTGTGTCGGATATGTGGTAACCAACGACTCCGAAGGCCAAACCGCTCATCCCCAGGACGAAAGTTTTTCCTCTTGGGCCCGGAACGACGGTGTGAAGTCTTGAGCAGACCCGTATGAGAGAACCAGCGTCGGATCTCATGAAGCTCGCGCGGATCCAAATGTGGTTTTGGTGTTTGTTTCGGTGGATCCGATTTCCGTCCGTACGGATCTGATTTCGGATTAGCTGGGCCCGTGTCCAGTCTTATTTTTTTCGGCGGATCCGATTTCTACCCTGGTTTTTATATTACTAAATTAAACCAGGGAGCCGGAAGAAATCGGATCCGCGGACCCCGCAAACCGCCCGTGTTAAGATTCTATGGGGGAGGGGGGTTCGGTAATCGCCTTTCCACGATGGGCCCTGCGTCGTCTCGCGCGCTCCCATCAACTCCCCGCGCGAGCGGGCCCCATTCAACATGAATACATACATCCCTCCTCCCCCGGTTGCTGCTAACAGCTCGTCCGGTCGCCGTCCGTTCGGCGGCGCCGACGTTGTCTCGCGAACTGCTCATGGCCATTTTCACCTCAAGAGGCAAATCTTTCGTCCTGCGTAAGTGCGTTTCGGCCCTGCGTCTCCTCACCCAACGGACTGCCTGTGAGAAGTAGTGTCGGCTGTTTGGTAACCAACAACGGATTGCGCGTGAGATGTGGTGTGTCGGCTATGTGGTAACCAACGAGTCCTAAGGCCAAGACACTAGTGCATTTCGGCCCTGCGTCCCCTCACCCAACGGATTGCCTGTGAGATGTGGTGTCGGCTGTGTGGTAACCAACAACGGATTGCGTGTGAGATGTGGTGTGTCGGATATGTGGTAACCAACGACTCCGAAGGCCAAGCCGCTCATCCCCAGGACGAAAGTTTTTCTTCTTGGGCCCGGAACGACGGTGTGAAGTCTTGAGCAGACCCGTATGGGAGAACCAACGTCGGATCTCATGAAGCTCGCGCGGATCCAAATGTGGTTTTGGTGTTTGTTTCGGTGGATCCGATTTCCGTCCGTACGGATCTGATTTCGGATTAGCTGGGCCCGTGTCCAGTCTTATTTTTTTCGGCGGATCCGATTTCTACCCTGTTTTAAATTTATATTACTAAATTAAACCAGGGAGCCGGAAGAAATCGGATCCGCGGACCCCGCAAACCGCCCGTGTTAAGATTCTATGGGGGAGGGGGGTTCGGCAATCGCCTTTCCACGATGGGCCCTGCGTCGTCTCGCGCGCTCCCATCAACTCCCCGCGCGAGCGGGCTCCATTCAACATGAATACATACATCCCTCCTCCCCCGGTTGCTGCTTACAGCTCGTGCAGTCGCCGTCCGTTCGGCGGCGCCGACGTTGTCCCGCGAACTGCTCATGGCCATTTTCACCTCAAGAGGAAAATCTTTCGTCCTGCGTAAGTATGTCCCCGTCCAGGGGGGTAAATCGGCCATCGGGGCCCAGGCCACGCCGCTGGGGATGGGGATCGGTTAAACGATACTCAGGCTTCGATCAGAGGCGTGGTCGCAGAAGTTCGCCCACACGCAGAGAGGGGGTGCAGAGGGAGGGGGAAGGCTTCTTAGAGGCACCCCTGCTTCTTAGAAGGCGTGGGCCTTGTCTGTAGATGCAGGGCCAGCGCCTCCTGAGAAGCAACCTGCTGTGTCCCGGGGGCGGTGGGCCACCCTGCCGTGGCCTCTCGGTGATCGGCGGCCTCGATGAGCGCCGGCGGTTTGGGGGAGCTTGTCGCCGGCCAGCGCTTCCAGCCCCATTGCTCCCCTTGTCCAGTTCTCTCTGCTCACCCGCCTGCTCCCCCTCCTGGCTGCCGTTGTGCGTGGGTTGTACGAGTGGCC